TACAGAAGAAGAGGTCGGGGGCTAAACAGGGACAGGAGGCGGGGGGAGAGAGTGAAGATAGAGGTAGACAAGTGGGGGGCCCGCGAGGAAAGTAGAGTACAGGGTGGGTAGGGGGTGATGTACGGACATGAAGGCGAGGCACCAACTAATGTGACGGGGACAAGGGACTCAGGGTGGACACTCGCGGTTATTAGAGCGGTGGGATCGCCTTCCCTGCCGCTCCCCTGGCCCAGGCCCATCAGTACCCATCAGTAGCAAGCCCGAGCTGTCCCAAACCGCACTTATCTCGGGTCTCCAAGCTCACACCGGCTCGTGATGCCACGGAGAGGCCTCGAGATTGTCCCGGTGGCCCCATGCCAAGCGATTGCGAGGGCATTCCGGAGGTCGTTATCGGCGCCATCGACCGTGATATGTCCCGATCCACAGCCCTCATGCACCAAACGCACGGATGCAGTCATAAAACGCAGGCCTTCTCTCCCAAATTCTTGAGCAAGGGTCGCCCCCCCTTGCCCCACCACTTTGTGTGTGTGGAGAAATTTACCTTACCTTACCTTACCTTGACTCTGGTTCTCTCGCAACGGAGGAGGTTGGTTCTTTATTCGACACTGGCCGGGGCTGGAGTTGTGCTGAGGCGGCGACGCCCGGCACCCCCTATGGCTATCTCGTTGGCCTCTGGGCGGGCGCCGCGTTCGTCATCGACTGTCCTATGTTGCGCGGGGAGTATCGCTACGCAGTGAGAGAGGACAGGGGGACGTCAACGCTCGCTGCTGCTGTACGGTTCGAGCACACAAAATTGAAAAAATACAGCTGATGCCGTGGCCCCTCATGTCCGATCATGTCATGTGTCAGGGTGATGAGGGGTGCACCAACCGCAGAGCGTCGTGTTTTGCCTTTGAAAACTGAACAGTTTATTCGCTACAGGCTCCTCCACCAGGACGGGCCACCACTGCTCGCCGGGGCCACAGACAGTTTTGACGGCGGCGCGTCCGACGCGGCTGCTCTCAAGCCCTGTCCGGGCGGGTAAGCACTGGCGGGGGCGGCGAACCCGTCGGAGGGAGCGTCGCTCACCACGGGAACAGCGGCCGGGGGCACGCCCCCAAACAGGCGGTCAAACGTCGAAGCCTCGCCGCCGCCGCCCTCCCCGCCGCCGCCCCCGTCGCCGCCGAAGAAATGGTCAAGCGACGCAACGGGGGGCGGCGCCGTCGCTGCCGACGCGGCGCCGGCCCGGCAGCAGCCGTCGTTTTGAGCGACGTACTTGGGGACTGCGGCGGCGGCGGCGGCGGCGGCGGGTGCGGCGGCGGCGGCGGCGGCGGGTGTGGCGGCGGCGGCGGTGGGGCCGGCGGCGACGGGCGGAGCGGAGACGGGTGCGGGTGCGGGTGCGGGTGCGGGTGCGGTGGTAGCGGCAGCGGCGGCGGCGGGAGCGGTGGCGGCGGCGGTGGTAGCGGCAGCGGCGGCGGCGGGAGCGGTGGCGGCGGCGGCGGCGGCGGCGGCAGGAGCGGCGGCGGCGGCGGGGCAAGCGGCGGCGGGAGTGCCGAGGTCCCGCCGAGCCCCGCCAAGACTGAGCGAGACTGGGCGAGATTGCGCCGCCGAGATTGGGCGAGATCGTAAGCTCGCGGCGGCGCCCCTCAAGTCGGAGGCAACCATCGCGCCTGTTCGCGGGCCGGCTGTGAACGGCGCCTCTTCGCGCCATCTCGCGGCGCGGGGAACGGGGGAGGGGGGGTGGAGGGAGGGAAGGAGGGGGGGGGTATACAAGAGAGAGAGAGGGAGAGGGAGAGAGAGAGAGAGAGGGAGGGGGGGGGAGGGAGAGGGAGAGAGAGCAGAGACATGAGATGAGACAAGACGAGAGGGCGAAAGGGGGGCGAGAAAGGCCGGCGCGCGCCGACAGCGCTCGCAACACTCGCCGCGCCTCGCAGCAAAGGCACCTAGGAAAAGAAGCACTGCCCCCTAGGCTTGGGCCGTGTGTTTCTTTTTCTAGGCCTCGCAGCATCGGCACCGCCGCCGCCGCCGCCGCCGCCGGTGCAGGCGCAGCATCATCAACTGTCGGCGCTGCACAATGCAGCGCTGCGACGGCGCCGCCGCCGGCCTTCTGTGTGGCCCGCTTAAGCAGCATCTCGGAGCCATTGCTGCCGCCGCCGCCGACGCCGTCGCCGTCTCCGCCGCCGCCGCCCTCGCCGCGGCCAATCTCGCCCAATCTCGCCCAATCTCGGCCAATCTCGCCCACGCCTCCACCGCCGCTGCCTCCACCAACGCCGCCTTCCGCGTCGCTGCCGGGCTGTGCGGCTGCAGCGCATGCGCATGCCGAAGCGGAGGCGGAGGCGGAGACGGAGGCGGCGGCGGCGGCGGAGGCGGAGGCGGAGGTGGAGGAGGAGGCGGAGGCGGAGGCGGAGGCGGGTGCGGGTGCGGGTGCGGGTGCGGGTGCGGGTGCGGCGGGGGCGGCGGCGGGGGCGGCGGAGGTGGTGGCGACGGCGGAGGCAGCGGCGGGGGTGGCGGAGGTGGCGGCGGTTACGGCGGGGTGACGGCGCAGCGTAAGAGACGCGGCCGGCACGGCCGAGGGTGGCAGGGCGCGGGGCGGGGCGAGGTTGGTGTCCGCCCAGCTCTCGTCACGCGCCGCGGAGATCGCATCTCCGTCGGAGACCGCATCTCCGTCGGAGATCGCATCTCCGTCGGAGATCGCATCTCCCTCCCACTCCGGTAGCACCGCCTGCGAGCGGCGGGCGGCAAAGGGGGAGGGGGGGGGGGGGGGGGCATGTGCATGTGCATGCATGTGAGATGAGAACGCAACGCGCATGCAGGGGAGAGGGAGGTGAGACGCTGGTAGCTGGCTGCGGGACTCGGCTGCCTCTCATCTATCTCTCATCTATCTCTCGGCTGCCCCTCGGCTGCCCCTCAGCTGCCTCTCGGCTGCCTCTCGGCTGTCTCTCGGCTGCCTCTCGGCTGCCTCTCGGCTGCCCCTCGGCTGCCTCTCGGCTGCCTCTCGGCTGCCTCTCGGCTGCCCCTCGGCTGCCTCTCGGCTGCCTCTCGGCTGCCCCTCGGCTGCCTCTCGGCTGCCTCTCGGCTGCCCCTCGGCTGCCTCTCGGCCGTCTCTCAGCCCCACCTGGCTGCCTCTCGGCTGCATCGCGGCTCCATCCTCGAGCCTAGTAGTCAGCTCCCCATATCTCCCCATATCTCCCCGGATCTCCCCGGATCTCCCCATATCTCCCCATATCTCCCCAGATCTCCCCCCTCAAGCCTGGTAGTCAGCCCCCACGCACACCCGCCGACGAGGCACGTACTGATACGGGTCGGCGCCTGTTCAGAGGGAAATGCGATCTCCGAGGGAGATGCGATCTCGGACGAGGCACGGAGGGGTGAGCCGAGCCGCCAGTACTACCGCCGCCTCCCCCACCGCCGCCGCCGCCGCCACCGCCACCGCCGCCACCACCGCCACCGCCACCGCCACCGCCACCGCCACCGCCACCGCTGCCACCGCCACCGCCACCGCCACCGCCGCCACCGCCACCACCACCGCCACCGCCGCAACCGCCGCCACCGCCGCCGCTACGCCCACCGCCAGCGCCCCCCTCGCCAACTTCGCCGCTGCCGGGGGCGGGGCAAGGCGCGCCGGCGCGCAGAACCTCCTCCCCTACCCCCCCCCGGTACCCGAACCCTTCCCTAACCCCCCCAGTACCCGAACCCGGCAAGGCGCGCCGGCTCGCAGAGCCTCCTCCTGGGCCTTTTCCGCATTGTAGTACGCCTGTTCACAGCTGTAGGTGTGAAGAGACGCTGTTCACACCTCCTCCTGGGCCTTTTCCGCATTGTAGTACGCCTGTTCACAGCTGTAGGTGTGAAGAGACGCTGTTCACACCTCCTCCTGGGCCCTTTCCGCATTGTAGTACGCCTGTTCACAGCTGTAGGTGTGAAGAGACGCTGTTCACACCTCCTCCTGGGCCCTTTCCGCATTGTAGTACGCCTGTTCACAGCTGTAGGTGTGAAGAGACGCTGTTCACACCTCCTCCTGGGCCCTTTCCGCATTGTAGTACGCCTGTTCACAGCTGTAGGTGTGAAGAGACGCTGTTCACACCTCCTCCTGGGCCCTTTCCGCATTGTAGTACGCCTGTGGCGACGGTGGCGGAGGGCCTGGGGGAGATCTGGGGAGATCTGGGGAGATCTGGGGAGATATGGGGAGATCTGGGGAGATATGGGGAGATATGGCGGTGTACGCCTGTGGCGACGGTGGCGGAGAGCTCGGGGGAGATGTGGGGAGATGTGGGGAGATGTGGGGAGATGTGGGGAGATATGGGGAGATGTGGGGAGAGATGGGGAGAGATGGGGAGAGATGGGGAGAGATGGGGAGAGATGGGGAGAGATGCGGAGAGATGGGGAGAGATGGGGAGAGATGGGGAGAGATGGGCAGAGGTGGGGAGAGATGGGGAGGGTCGCCTCCCCCACGCTGACCGTCGATCGAGGCGCGATCTCCCTCGGAGATTGCGCGATCTCCGTCTGATATTGCTTTCTCCATAGTGCCGGTGCGCTCGCCCCCACCGTTGTCCTCGGCGCCCCCGTCGGTCTCGGCAGTATCTCTGGAAATGTTGGTCTCTGTGCTCCTAAACCGTCTTGTCCCCCGG